TAAAACTAATCTAATCTTATCTTTTGCTGGGTAAAGATGCTCTGCCCTCTTTGATGCTGCGCACTAAGAGACGAATCGAATTCTTTGCTCATTTCAAGAGACACAGAATCTCATTTGAGCGTCTTGTGAACGCCTTAGATGCCACAACTCCGGAAGAGTCACATATTACGCAGAACTGATGGTGTTTGTAGTATTTTCCGTGATGTCTTTGGAAAATAAATACATAGAAAATGGGGGGCTTATTTTGCCTTCCATCCGGTTTTTTCCAAGAAATAACTAAGATAGAGAGTTAAACAGATAGATATACTGACCTAGATAGATAGATAGTCATATCGACTGACGGGTTATCAGAGAAATACAATGGTAACATTTACCTCTGGTTTATTAAACGATCGAGAAAGCTTGTTTTTTTTTTTAACCTGTTCCAAACGGTTAAATTCAGAATCGCAAAAGAAACTTTTCCCGCCGCCGGACTCTATAACGCTGATGCAGCTGATGGTACGATAATTAATGGAACCTCGAGAACCTCTGCTTGCTTGCTTGCTCTTCAAGAGGTTTCAAACCCTTCATTTTTACTGTGAGATTCAAAATGAGAAATTAAATCCGGTTCTTGTAGTTTATTATCTCTAAATGGGAAGATTATTGATTAATATTTGGTTCTGGATGATCCTTTGAGCCAACAACATCAACCTGAAAGATCTTGAGGCTAGTTTTAGAAATAGTTCAAAGGTTGTGACTCTTAACCTCTTGTAGATTAATCCTTACTGGGTTGCAAATGCAATCTGCAACGGTGCACACGGTGGGCATCCTCAGCCTCTCATCCTGTCCTTTTATTTTAACTATGACTAGAGTTCATAAGGGCTGTCGAATGCCATACCTAGTGAAACTGCAAGCAAAAGCTGTTATCCTACCTCAGCTCATCTGAAGCCTGCTCCTAGAAACTCATTTATTTCATGAGAATGTACTTTGAAACTATCACATAGAGAACTGTCATATAAGGAACTTGGTGAAACTTCATGCAATAGTTGTAATCCTACCTCAGCTAAATTGAAACCTACTCCTAGAGGCCCATTTATTTCATGAGTCTGTATATGCATCAATAGGAATAGCCTTTACTCATTAACAACATTAGGAAACAATCATATAAGGAACAGGCTGAGCCTGTAGCTAACTGTGTGCCAGAGCCTTCATGTGATCATTTGAACCTGATCTCCCGTGTATCAGCCTGTTGAGCGAACAAGATCCAGATCCAAGTCAAGCCTCGGATGTGAATGATCGCTGATGGAGTGATGGTTCTCGAAAAGGCACTTCCAGGATGAGACTGTTGAAGGTTTAGAGCCTAGTGCTACGGGTGGGGCGACTACTGGTAGTCCACGGAGTTGGGCCAGGTGCGAACTTTGCGTGATGATGTGACCTTGAACATAACAGTAAGACCACCAACGTCACAACGATTTTCAGGCTCTGATGTTCAGACCTTTCCCACCAGACCAGGATCAATTTATTGATCCCTTTGATAGATCAGTATGCCCCCAGAGGCTTCTAGGACTCCTCTTCTTTGGCACTGAGTGCGCTATCTAGCAATTTTAATTTAAGATCTGTATACAACATATCTAGTAAGTTTAGGGCAAACTACAGCACATTTATTAGGGCTGAACGCGAGGTTGTTTTCAGCACTTTATCTTAAAAAACATATTTCCATAATATCTTTGGTTGGTTAACATACTTCCATAGTATCTTTAGTTGGTTAACATATTTCTATAGTATCTTTGGTTGGTTAACATATTTCCATAGCATCATTGATTGGGGCCCCAAAGAACTGGAGCATCAACATACCAACATATATTAACCTGAGTCCTGCCTATGTGGCAGCCAGCTCTACTGCATTTTAACTCTATCATCAATGGATCAAGATAGACAGCATATAATGAATGACTTATTAAAAAACACCACCTTGTTTAACTCCATTTTTAAGCGAGTTCTTTTCAAAGA